ACTGCTTTTTGCTCCCTGTTGGTCACATAACTCCTCCTCCATTGCACGGTGCCTGCGCCATCTTTGTTATTAGTCGCTGATGTTGGGTAGCGACAGCAGACAGCTGTGAGAGCAAATCCCATAATGCTTTGCAAGAAAAGCAAAGCATTCTGGGATATATCTGCCTCTTTGAGGCCTTTCTTTTTTTCCCTCAAACACTTCATAGACACTTTTTCTCTTTCAACCCTCGGCCATTTTAAAAGAGCCACGGTGATAAATGTGAGCTTCAATGAGCGAAACCGTAGCCCTAAAGAGATATATGCCTGAAAGTGCGCATGACCAGAAAAAGATAGCTACGTAAACGTTACGTAAACATATCACCAGAATGATTGACAATTAGGAGGACCACTTATTTAGATGATCGACCTGGAAATAAAAGATCATCCTCTATATGTTTAAGATAAGGTTACACATCAGATCAATATCTTCACAAATTCCCCAAATTTTCTTGCAGCTTTTAACAGTTTGTTACGCCTCCAGGTGAGATTGTTCCTCCAAGAGTTGATCCGCCATGACTTACCCACATACAGAAATCGATTGAAGGGCATAAAATTGAAATGAAGTGTGAGTAACAACAAAAGTTTTAAGTAAAAAGTATACAGCAAAGAAATACTTCAAGTAAAACATGTTCGGTAAGAAGGCTACTGAAGTACAGAGTAATCATACTAATAAGATCTGATTTTTTATTATCAGACAAAACTATGAATGTATGTACAAATTCTTGTATTTTAGAGACTAGAATAAAATTAAACATTAACATAATTAAAAAGAAACAAATTTAGGAAATAAAAATACTTTTCTAGGCTTGTTATTTTCAACATAAAACTAATGACACCTAATGTTTACGTTTAACATGCATGTATTATGTTAGAGCAGAAAAGTACCTCTAATGAAAATATCTCCAGTTTACTATATGTATGCTTGATCTCCAGGTGGCTTTATGAACTAAAAAAATAAATAACATTGAAACAAAAAAGCTTCTGTTGCTGATAGATTATAGTTAAAAAGAAATTCTGTTAGTAAAAAATGAGTAGCAGGGAAATTTGACTCGAGTAAAAGTAACCATAGTTCTTAATATTCAAGCAAAAGTTAAAAGTAGAGTGAAGCAAAACTACTTTCAGAAACTACATTTTTTTCACAACTTAAGTAAAGCAAAATGAACAATGTAAACAGCTAGACCTCACTTCTGCCCACATTTTTCAATTTCATCCAGATTCTTCCCATTTCGCACCAGTAACATTATCCTTCCATCTCCATCAACCAAACTATTGCACATCAGTGAAAATAAATACAGTTCAGTGAAGTTAGCTAAATTGACTTTTTAATATACAAACCTATTTCTTTTCACACATAATAAATGAAGAGGCAGCACAAAGTAAAATGGACAGTTATAACTAGTTTATTCAATAAAATGGTCAAAGGGTAAACAAGAAAATAACAAGTCAAAAATACGTATGTATATACAGACACACTATATATATATCTGTATATACACACACAAATATATATATATATATAGCTTGTGTTTTTCAAATAACTTTTTAGCTTAAGGTGTCTTAATAATGATTGCAACTCAAAACACTTAAGTTAGTTAATTGAAGTCTCCGGAAACAACAGTTTGTTGTCTCACCAACACAGTCATACTTCCAGTGCCTTTACCATCAGTTAATCAGGTAAAAAAAAACAAACAACTGAGGGAAATCTGTTCAACTATAAATGGTTCCCTTGTCTTCTTTTTGCTGACTTAGCAGCCAGACACGGTTTCATTCTCAGGATCTTCTGTCAGCTCTTTCTGCTACTCCTTCTTGCAGCTGTGGATGCTGGTCAGGTGTTGACTTTTCAAAAGGTTCTAATCCTGTTCACGTCAACTTCTCTTCCTCCAAAGCTTCATGCATTTTTAAAGACAATCGGAGTCTTTGGCTGAGGCTAATTTAATTAGAACTGCAGCCCAGATAAGACTGCCAGGTAACCGCAGCACAAAGTCATTTATCATTAATATCAGCTGCAGCATTTCCTAATATAATATTGCTTTTTGTAATATTCGATCATCCCAGCAGATAATAAACAGATTTTATATCAACGATTACCGTCTAAAGCAGGGGTCTTCAACATTTTCAAGGCCAAGGACCCCCAAACTGATGGAGAGATGGAGCGGGGACCCTCTAATTATATATATTGTATGAAATTGTGTTATATCAAACTGGTCCTATAGTCACTCTATTACAGATGGAGTAATGTAACGAAAGTAATTTCTCCCTGGGACTATTAAAGTATTCCTGATTTAGATTCTGTTGAAGACCTCTGGTCTAAAGCCAAAACGTAGTTAAAATGCAGATCTTAAAGCATCGCATTTAATTATGTATTTAATTGTGCACATTTTCTGAGTTAAGTAAAAAAAAAAAAAAAAAAACTTCTAAAAGAAAACAAAAAAGTTTCAAGTCATACCTGTATTTACTCTTATTTTTAATGTCTATTTTAATTTCCTTCAGAACATTTCCTATTTGGGCTAATTTACTGCTAATAAAGTGCTTTATTTAAAACATAAAAATCTTAAAACACTTTTTCAATCCGGTGACAAACACTGAGGCCAATTAAGCTATCAGAAAATGAAACAAAAAAAAAATAATAGCATTGAATGAACACTAGAGGGTGTTGTAACAATATTTCTTCAAAACCTCCTCAGCCCAGAGGATTTAGATTTTTAACTGCAGAATAGAAAATAGAAAGACCAAACACTATAGGGTAAAAACGTTTAACACCCCTTGAAGTATTTAGTGTTTTCAACCTGTATGACAAATAACTTTTCTTATTTAAAAAAATATATATATTAAAATTTTAATTGAACATCACCATGAACCCTGTGTTGAACTCCATCTGTCCTCCCATCAACTGACCAGCTAATTGTTCCCAACTGAAAAGCTACCCCACAGCATCATTATTCCACCATCATGTTCAACGGGAGGGTGAAAGTGAAATTAGCTCTGTCACACGGTAAGTTCTGAACATCTATGTTAAATTCACTAAGATGCTGCACTATCACACAAAGTCACAATGAAATAAAGTGAAGTAAAAAACTGCAATAGCATGACTACTTAAGCGAAGCGTTGTCAATCTAAACGATCACACAACTTCAAGAAATCTGACTCCAGTGCAAAGCCAGCATCGTGTAACAAATACAGGAGAGTCCAATGGAAGGATTCAGTTCTTATAACAAGAAACAGAAAGTTAATGCATTATTTCTGTTTCCCTGGAAAGTAAGAAAAAGAAACTGGTTAACTAGTAGTTAAAGCCAGTTAACATGTCCTTTTTGTGTGGGTTCTTGTTTGAGGTAATGAGTTTTGTTCTGGTTTAGTACAGGTGCTGGTCATAAAATTAGAATATCATGAAAAAGTAGATTGATTTCAGTAATTCCATTTAAAAAGTGAAACTTGTATATTATATTCATACATTACATACAAACTCATATATTTCAGATGTTTATTTTGTTTAATTTTGATGATTACAAATGACAACAAATGAAAATCTCAAATTCATCATATCAGAAAATTAGAATATTACTGAAGACCAATAAAAACAAAGGATTTATAGAAATGTTGGCCAACTGAAAAGTATGAACATGAAAAGTATGAGCATGTACAGCACTCAGTATTTAGTTGGGCCTCCTTTGGCCTGTATTACTGCAGCAATGCGGCGTGGCATGGAGTCGATCAGTCTGTGGCACTGCTCAGGTGTTATGATAGCCCAGGTTGCTCTAATAGTGGCTTTTAGCTCTTCTGAATTGTTGGGTCTGGTGTATTGCATCTTCTTCTTCACAATACCCCATAGATTTTCTATGGGGTTAAGGTCAGGAGAGTTTGCTGGCCAATTAAGAACAGGGATACCATGGTCCTTCAACCAGGTACTGGTAGCTTTGGCACTGTGTGCAGGTGCCAAGTCCTGTTGGAAAATGAAATCTGCATCTCCAAAAAGTTGGTCAGCTGCAGGAAGCATGAAGTGCTCTAAAACTTCCTGGTATGTGGCTGCGTTGACCCTGGACCTCAGAAAACACAATGGACCAACACCAGCAGATGACATGGCACCCCAAACCATCACTGACTGTGGAAACTTTACACTGGACTTCAAGCAACGTGGATGAAGTGCCTCTCTTCTTTTCCTCCAGACTCTGGGACCTTGATTTCCAAAGGAAATGCAAAATTTACTTTCATCAGAGAACATGACTTTGGACCACTCACCAGCAGTCCAGTCCTGTTTCTCTTTAGACGCTTCTGACGCTGTCTGTGGTTCAAGAGTGGCTTGACACAAGGAATGCGACAGCAGAAACCCATGTCTTTCATACGTCTGTGTGTGGTGGTTCTTGAAGCACTCACTCCAGCTGCAGTCCACTCTTTGTGAATCTCCCCCACATTTTTGAATGGGTTTTGTTTCACAATCCTCTCCAGGGTGCGGTTATCTCTCTTGCTTGTACACTTTTTTCGACCACATCTTTTCCTTCCCTTCGCCTCTCTATTAATGTGCTTGGACACTGAGCTCTGTGAACAGCCAGCCTCTTTAGCGATGACCTTTTGTGTCTTGCCCTCCTTGTGCAAGGTGTCGATGGTCGTCTTTTGGACAACTGTCAAGTCAGCAGTCTTCCCCATGATTGTGTAGCCTATAGAACTAGACTGAAAGACCATTTAAAGGCTTTTGCAGGTGGTTTGAGTTAATTAGCTGATTAGAGTGTGGCACCAGGGGCCATCAATTTTGAACCTTTTCACAATATTCTAATTTTCTGATATGATGAATTTGAGATTTTCATTTGTTGTCATTTGTAATCATCAAAATTAAACAAAATAAACATCTGAAATATATGAGTTTGTATGTAATGTATGAATATAATATACAAGTTTCACTTTTTAAATGGAATTACTGAAATCAATCTACTTTTTCATGATATTCTAATTTTATGACCAGCACCTGTATATAAAAAAGCAAGCAACATTTCTTCTATTACTGATGATCAATGTTTCTTATTAATTCTTACCCTTTGCCTGACCATATCAGCCTGTTTGTCGCCATAGTCCTGTTCTTTTCACACTGATCCTTTATCTCCCGTTAAAACACCCTCATCTCATCCTTGGAGCGATCCTTGAACTCCTCGTCCTCTTCGACGGCACCTTGGTAGCGTCAGGCTGCAGATCCTGAAAGATTTGGATGGCCGTATTGCTCCAGTGCTCCACCTCCATGAAGATTCCGTACACCCACAGCTTCAGCTCAAACAGAGCAGTGGGACCATCTAACTGCCAGAGAGAAGACAAGATATGCTCCGTTTGTGTTTCTAATCCAGCCTGTCTTGTTGAAAACATCTCTGCTGACACCTACCTGTGAGGCGTCCAAGCTCGTGGTCACAATGCTTGGACCATCAGTGGCTTTGAGGAGGTCTCTGGTGACAATCACTAGACGCGACAGTCGGTCCTTCACCATCTTCCTCCTCTTCTCGTATTCACCCATCTCCCCTCCATCGAACTCCTCCTTCTCCCTGACGATGGCTCTCTCCATTAGGCTGCAGCACTGCTCCAGAGCAGAATGGAGGTGCCACAGTTTGTCTCCAGGGTCCAGGTGAGAGGAAGGAGAGGGGATGGAAACCAGGGGGACCCCAGCCACATCTGATGGGAAGTTCTCTTTATTCCTCTTTAGGATCCAGGGAATCAAAAAGAAAAAGAAAACAACTAAAGTGAGATACGAGAGGATGGAAGAGGAGAGAGATGTTAGAGGGGAGGTAGAGACGAACGTTTTCTATCAAACAACAGAGATGCAGTTTGAGCTTTGTTTTAAAACGAGTGGTGAGAAGAAAAAAAATCTAACTCTGGTCTTATGGGATGGGAATTTTTTCTGACTCGTTCATAACACTCAGCCCACAAACAGCTGGGGTTTGGAAACGTAGAAATAAAAAAAATCTAAACAAGCCAGACGAGAGAGTCAGCATTTCCACAGGGTCTCAAACATGATGCAATGTCTAGAAACAGGCCAGCGACATCAGGTCACGGAGAGTTAAACAAATATTTATTTAATGATTCAAAATAGCTATATGTTGCTGGTTTTTAACTGAGACTGCTTTAGACTTGATGATGTGCTTAATCTCTAAAGTTCTCTTGGTTTAACTCCTTTCTGGAAGGATTGAAAAATATGAGAAAATGTACCATGGGTGTAATTACAACAAAACTTTGCCTGAGGAGGGGGAAAGCAGTGAGGAACTAAACCGAATGATAATGTCTGCCAGTTTATACCAACACCAGCTGTAACCAGAGCCTGAGACTCTCAGAATGATAGCAAATGCATGTCTAATCAAAATCCCTAAAAGGTTTTCCAAGCGGCGAACTGGAACTCCTGACCCACTCCTCGAAAAGACTGAATCGAAACTTGTTGCAACAAACATCTACAGAAAAGCAATGCCAACACAATAATGGTGAAAAACATGAATAGATCTGTGCCTTCCAAAAATTTTTCATACCCTTCAAACATTATCAAGTGTTAATATTTGGATTCAGACTCGCCAAGGCCAGCAGTAACTCTAGAGGTGCTGGAGAGATTAGAATCTGTCACACAGGACGACCCCACAAATCTGACTTCAATAAAAAATGTCATTGAAATAAAATTGAGTAGAAAGCCATAGTTCTGTAGCCTGATAATCCAGACTAAATATGAGATTAAATGGGTAATTTAGTCTGGCCCCGATGAAGGGGACATCGGAAGAGTGTTGAAGAGAACAACCCGCTGTTTGTCTGTGCCTATTGGCCAATGCTCTGACCAATGAGCGCAACTGACAGTGACGTAGTAAGCACAACAGAAAGCTGGTGGGGAAGTGTAAACAAATAGCCTGTTGGTAAAACGACAAATACGTCCTTCTTAAAAATTAATGAGCGTAGAGCCTCTTCCTGCTCACGTTTCAACAAAAACGCAGAGTCTAATTCTTCCAAAACTGATTCCAAACTGGAGTCAAACAAAAACTGTTCAATAGTTGTTGCCATCTTCCTTGTTGTACTTTCTCCAGCGTTGTGCAACTTTGTTGTCCCACCCTCAAAACCCCGCCCACTTTGCATCCAGACATTCAAAACACATCTCTGCTTTGCTCTGTTCTAGGGCCTGAGATTGATCCAGGCTAGACCCACTAGCAGGCAAAAATGATGTTGGCTGCTGGCGGGTGGGGCTAGTTTACTAGGCTACTAGTTCTGAGGTTCTGTTGCTCTTTGCCACAAACGCAGAAACAAAAAGAAAAACAACCAAACGTGCTCTGGTCAGATGCGGTGAAAACCATCATTCATAAGTCAAACCTGGTGGCAGCATCACACCCTGTAGGGGATTTTCTACAACAGATCTAAAGATGGATGGAGGTAAATCCTGCAGCACTGGAACAAACCCTGTTAGGCTGACAAGCACAGAGAGCAACAACCCTACTCTTAAATCCATTTGGTCAGAACGGCCCAATCAAAGTCCAGACCTAAAACTAATCAAGACTACGTGGCAAAATATTTAACACTGCTGCTCTCCTTTCAACCCGACAGTGCAGCCTGTCCTGGTAGACACATCTTAGCAAAAAGTCTATATCTATACAATTAACATTTTATTTGGAGCTGCTATAGGCTTGAAAATATTTCTTCTACCTATAAAACAAAACTATAATAATAAATAACCTCTTTACTAGCTTATTTATTGTCAATTTCAAAATAAAAGGCGTACCTTAAAGAATAAGATGCAAACTGATGGTTTCTTTTTACATCGATGGAATTTACTTTAATCATTTATTTGAGGTATCGAAGTGACAAGCAAGACTCAGGTAATCTTCGGACCACCAGAGAGGAGATCCAGAATTGGCGCACAGCTTCACCTTCTACAGCTAGAAATCACAGACTATGGCTGAAATCTTGGTGCCGTGATGGACTGAACCTTCTGAGGCACATAAATAACCACAGAGTGCTGTGTGCTTAGTTGCTGGGTAAAGGCCAATTTATGCTTCTTACGCATAGCCTTTGCAAATGTCATATCTATCTCTGTCCGCAACAACGCACCCTGCGCAGAGGTTCTGTACCGTCGACTCGCACCTCAAAAAAATCCAGACTACACGTCGGATGGCCGCAAACCTCTGTAGACCTCAAGTGGAAGTGGGCAGACAGCAACTGTGATTGATCCTTGGTATGCCTTTTCGTCCTTCACGATTCGGTGCCGGGGCGCGCCATTTTTAAAAACCGAGGAACAACTACAATGGACAACCTATGCATCCTCCTTTGTCTTTTTGCCAACTCCATTAACAGAACCTGTTCCTCTTCGATGCCTAGGAACTCTAGATCCATCTCCATGGCCTTGATATCTTGCAGACGTGCCATTGTTGTTTTGGAAGATAAACACTCGAGTTCTTGAATGGGCTCCCCATTGCACTTTTGCAAGAAACTGCTGTGCTTCCCTAGAAATTCCAGACCGACGGTGCAGAAGCATACCAGCAAAACTGGTTCCACCAGGCGCAAGGGGGGGAGAATTTCAGTTTGGATAGACGTTTCTCCTTGAATCTACCTTTCTTATAGCTCTTAAGTCAATGACTCTATGCAATCATAAGGTTTTCCTTGACAGAAACAACCAATCTGACTGCATTGTCTCTGTAAAGTGCCTTGAGATGACATTTGTTTAAAATTGGCACTATAATAAATAAACTGAATTGAAAGAATTTAATATTGCAACAGTGTCATGTGCAGCCTTTTGCAGGAGCTCCTGTGTAATTCTTTGTATTTTACTACTTCTTATCCTTAATTTATTCTTATAGCTTATTTGTACTAATTTTTCTCTCTTCTGTAAACAGTTTCACTGCAAGGAAAGGATTTCCTGCAAGGGATTAATAAAGTGATTCTGGTTCTGAAGTCCTTCCACTGGCTCAGAGAATAGACTTTAAAATCCTTCTGTTAGTCTATAAAACACTGAATCAGCACCTGAATACATGCATTTGTCTCCTCCAGGTTAGACTACTGCAACTCTCTGTTTGTTGGAATCCATAAAAAAACATCTTCAGAAGCTCCAATACATTCAAAACAGCGCAGCCAGGATTCTCTTGAGGGCCCGCAAATCTGCCCATATTACACCTATTCTGCATGACCTTCACTGGCTTCCCATCACCTGCAGAATTCAATACAAAATCGCGCTCATCACCCATCAGTGTTTAAACGGATCCTCGCCGGATTATCTGAAGGACCTTCTCACTCCACATTCATCCACCAGATCTCTTCGATCACAAGACTGCAACTTCCTTCACCTTCCTCGCTCGAGATTAAGGTCCATGGGAGATCGGGCCTTCGCTGTCGCTGCCCCCCGTCTCTGGAACTCTCTCCCAGATCATCTGAGAGCTCCACAACCATTGAATGATTTTAAGAGAGGCTTGAAGACTTTTTTATTTAAGCAAGCCTATTCTGCCTCCACATGATTTTGATGTTGTTGATTTTTATCTTTGATTCTATTTGCACTGTGTAGCACTTTGAGATTTTTGTTAATGACCACATGATTTTTATGATGTTGATTTTTATCTTTGATTTTATTTGCACTGTGTAGCACTTTGAGATTTTTCTTGATGAAAAGTGCGGTACAAATTGGATTTATTATTATTATTATTATTATTTGTCGTCAGTGTATCAACCTCCCAGACCACTCAGGTAGTCTAGTTTCAGCCCACTCTGTACACCCAAAGCTAGAACCAAACATGGAGAAGCAGCATTTAGTTCCAATGCTCCACTTATCTGGAATAAACTGCCAGAAGACTGGAAAAGTGCTGAAAGCCTGAGTTTTTTTAAAGGAAAAATCTGGTCAGCAAGGAATAATCAATGGATCATTACCTATACCTAAAACTAATACGTTTGCAGTGATTTAATGAATTAACCATCATTTAACCGGGGGGAAAAAATCCCATTGAGATTAAAAACCTCTTTTTCAAGGGATTCCTGGCCAAGAGGGAGCAAAGTTACTTAATAAACAGAGATACATTAAATTAAATGACACTAAAACATATCAAGTCAAACAATTACAGATCATTGAGGCTGCTTCAAATTCTTTCACTTTCAACTTAAATGAATTTAAAGATAAAAACTCAGTCAACTTCTTGTTTCCTTGTAAAAAAATTTCACACATAAGAAGCTACGTAGCTAAAGGCTTTCTTCCCTAGTTCTGTGCGAGCAAAAGGAACAGTGAAATAATCAGTAAAAAAATAAAAATAATAATTTTTGTCACGAACACGGAGTCTGGGAACGGCCATTTTTGCCCAAAATATATTAACACGTCTCTCCTGACATTTGCATCTAGCGTGCATGGCTGTTGGATGTTGTAATACATCGCGTAAAAGTGAAAACAAATGATTTATTTCAACTTTCAGATTCATGATCCTCCACAGACGGTTTCGTCATTGGATTGCCAATTTGAAGAGGGAGGATTTGCCATCAACTTCTGGCCAGAGAAAAAAAAGATGTAATATGTAGCCAACATTTCTAAAAAAAAAAAAAATGTTTTCAAGATGACTTGGATAATAGTGCGTTGTGACAAACACCAGATACAGCACTGGGACTTGATCAACAGCCGATACCGCACCGTGATGTCACAAACCGGTAGGTGGCAGTAGTGTTCTTTGACAAACATGGATGCCTCCAGTAAAGCACATTCAAATGAAAATTTCTCTTAATTAAAACACTTATCATTTATTGAACAGTATTTAATAATTTTATATTTAAAATAATTTCAGAAGTTTGAATTCTGAATATTTACTTTTCCTTTAAGTTAAAGTAATAAAAACCAACCCATTTGTTTAGAGCTACCTTTGGTTTTTAAGTTAAACTGTTATCTGGGGTGTTATTACTTTCAGGATATGATCCAACAGTTTTATTCGTTTTACTACCTGCTTTTATTATGTTTTTATCTTTTTATTAGCTTTTATTTCCCTTCTATCTTAATGTTTAATTCATGCAAAGCACTTTGAATTGTCTTTGTGCTGATATCGTGCTATACAAACAAACCTCCCTTGCATTGCTGTAATCGTAAAGAATTGGGAACCATTTCAAGGTTTTAGACTACCGGTAATTTAAAACCGTTGTTAAATGTTAAAATGTTTGAATAAAGTCAGCTTCAGAGCGCAGTGGCGGTGATGGTACAGTGACTCTCAGGAGGCATTATTGAAGCTGGCGACTAGTAACATTAACAGTTGTGATGCACGCACCTTGATATGAAGAAAGGCTCAGATGTGATCCGTCTGTTGTGAAAGTTAAGAAAGAGGGGGTGGGGAATACCTCTGGAATTTACTGCACAGCTGGAACGAATATTTCCATGAATCACTGCAAACTATCATAATGATGCAAGCATGGTAGTGATTTAATAGGCGAGTGAAGGGTGTCGCAAACCTGTGTCTTCATAGGCACTAAATAACCCGGGGATGAGCTGCCAGGAAATAACAGCATCCTTCAGATATGATTTTATACTGAGAGGCTAAACAAAGCTTTTCCTTAGACACAGCTACAGAGTCACATTGACATTTTATACAAAGTGGCATGTAAATGCATCTCAAAATACAATTCTATTAACTTATATTTGCCAGAAATTAAGGTAATGGCTCAGCAAAAATAAAACCTACAAAATGCTATCCATTTTATAATATGATGATAATAAAACAGTAGCTCCAATTTAATTTATTTGATTTAGAAAGTTTAGAAACAAGTGAACATCTACAACTATTTCTCAACCAAAATCTTTAGACATTTTGTACATTTTTAATGAAAAAAAAAGGCTTTTGATTTGACATTTTATGCCTAAAGCGTAATTTGATGTGCACACCGACACCTTGGTAGTTCAACATCGATGCATCTATAAGTCTGTAGCCTATGTTCCGGAATATATTTCGGGTCGGAGGTTCCTGCGATGTTTGGCGGATGTGACGACATGTTAAATGGATCCAACTTAGCAAACAAAGCGTTAAAAAAACTGATGGATTTTGTTAGTACTCAGAAGCGATCGACATCCAGCTCAACACAGACACCAAGGGCAGCTCCACATAAGGTAAAAAAAATATAAAAATCTCGTCAATAGCAAGAACAAGCAGGAGAGTGCTGCAGTTCTGTCTTTTGCCCCCAGGTGGCAGTATCATTAGAAAACTCTCTGATGCCTCTTTATATAAGTATCTATACTCTTTGGCGTCTAGAGTTCAAACTGACTTGATATAAACTATTATGAGTCCGATTTTAAACTGATTTTTCTCTTTTTTTCCCCAGGTTCTATAAACAACAACTACCGATGCTTATATAGCCATAAAAGTGATCCCTTATTTTAGCAGGTTTTCTTCAAACTACCCTGTCAACAAACAAGTGAATCTAAAAATACAGGTTAGTGTGTTGTTTATCAGGAAACAACAACTTTATAGTCGTAGTTCCAGTTATACTTATTTATCACTTGACAACTTATCAAATGTCACATTAGGGCTGCAACTAACGATTATTTTGCAAATCTGTTGATAATATTTAAATTCATCGATTAACAATCGGATAGCAAAAGGTTCCTCAAAGAAGATTTTTTTTTTTTTACAGAATTAAACCAGGTGAAAGAAAAACTTTTCCACTTGAGGAGTTCTGGATAGAGCAGATTGAGAGACAAAAACATTTTTTAAATTTTTTTTATCTTAAATGAAAAATGCTTAGGCTACATATCTATTTTCCAATTTTGGTGTAATTGCTCTTCAAGACGGGTCGCTCTGTCATCTAAAACCAGGTTTTAAAGTCTCTACACTCCAGTTAACGATTAATCCGATTAACGATTCATCAGGATGAATCTGATTAATTGCTCCAGCTCTACTTTACATGCTAAAAATTAAAGGTTCATCTTAGTTATGTGTTTTAGGTTTTAATATTCTGCATTTGGCTCCATCCATGCTCTGTTCAGCTCTGACCAGCTTTCCTTAGCAGCAGATAATCCCCTCCAATGCATGATGCTGCTACCACCGTGTTTGACTGTTTGTTTGACTTGGAGATAGAATCCAAGTTTACACAAAGGCATATTTCAGATTGGGCATTAGGAAAAATAAATGACTTCCACTTCACAGGTATGCATAACTTACACATTACTGTACTTGTCCACACTCTGGAGGTCTGTGGTTGGAACTTGATTAATGTTTGAAGCACTGAGGGAGGCTTCCGTAGATGTGATGCTACATGTCAGGCCGCTCCCTGTGCCCCAAGTCAGACACACAAAAGCCAGAATAAAGGACTCTGCTGGCTTTAAACCAAGGGGGAAGTTATAAATAAAAATAAAAAAACAGTAGCTGTATAAACACAAACCTCCAGTCATTCAAAGTTCACCAATCTACAATCAGTGATCTTCTCATCACATTTTGCTCTCACATAAAAAATGCCTTTTTTTTACCTTGCTTTAGAACTGTTATTTATTTTCAACTATTTGAAAACACTAAAAAACATTTATTTTTGTTTATTCAAGTCAAGCAAACACAAACAGAGGCGCACCAGTTCATTACCCATTAAACCCTGACCTATTTCTCTGACAGAAACAGGGATTAGGTGGTTTTCTTTCCCACTCTGAACTAATGGAAACCAACTGGTTACTCACATACAGCTCCACTAACAGGGAGCACTCATGGCGCAGCAGCGCGGCGATATCTGCCGCTCGGGACGCCATGTTTCTGCCCAGGTCCGCTCCTCTTCTTCCTCTGGTCCGCATCCCCGCCATGCTCTTTAATCTCAACTGGAAGTCCTAAAAATACGCAAGTTACACAGCCTTTATTAAATAGTTCCCCCGAAGTTCCCATCTCAGTGACGTCAGATTTGATCTCGGCTCTGGTCCAATCAAAAGCCTGAGCCCTCCTCTCCTCTTCCGGTTTTGGACCGGCTGCCTCTGGTCCTCCGACGCCCCGCCCCTTTCCTTTAAACTTACTTTACTGTGAAGGAATATAGACATAAAACTGCTTACAATGAAAAATGATTGGAATTTAAATTAAATCGGGATAAGGACTGATATATATTTAAAAAAAGTCATATTATAACTATATATTTGTATATATATATATATATATATATATATATATATATATATATATATATATATATATATATATATATATATATATATATATATATATATATATGTATATATATATATATATACCAGAGTTTAAAATATACATTTCTAAAAGAATATCAGATCAACTGAAATGGTGGCAGTTATACCAAGCAATGGGTAGAGGAGGTTAGACCAGACATGGTGGTGGTCTGTACAGATTCTAAAGCAGTTTTAGAAAGTATTCAGGGAGAAGGAAATTATAGAAAATATTTAGTATTAGAGATTCAACACAGTCTATTTAGATTATATAGGGTTGGCACTGATATTTGGTTATTTTGAGTTCCAGCACATGAAGGTGTAAAAGGCAATGAAAGCAGATATATTAGCAAATAGGGCTTTAGAGGGAACAATAACCTTTACAATTCCTTTTGGGAAAGAGGAAGGGAAATCCCTTATTAAGAGTAAAGAAATGGCAAAAGAGATGGAACAAAGATAAGAAAGGTAGAGGATTATATAAGGTACAAAAATCAGTATTAAATAAAATCATTAATGAGAGAACCAGAAGGGAAGAAGTAGTAATCCTCAGATTTACAGTTGGTCATACCTATTTAAATGACAATTTATATTTAATAGGGAGGAAAAATAATGATAAATACGAAGAATGTGGAGTTTCTATTTTTATTACATTTTCTCCACAATCTCTCCGCAAAATGCAGGCACAAAAAAAAATAAAATAAAAGGCACTCTTAAAAAATGTCTTTAACACAATATACCTAAAGAACTCTATCAACTGTATTTTCCAAGAGCATGTATTTACATGATGGTTGTATGATTTGGTTAAAGGTATAGAGGATGATCTTTTATTTCCGGGTGGATCATCTAAATAAGTGGTCTTACTAATTATCAATCATTCTGGTACGTTTACGTAAGGCCGTCCCACGTGCTCATCCCGTTAGCTATGTTTTTCTGTGCATTCCCACTTTCAGGCGTATATCTGGTGAGCTGCAGTTTCAGACCGTCATTGAAGCTCACCTTTCTCACCATGGTTCTTTGAAAATGGCCGAATGGCAGAAGAGGCAGATATACCTGGAATGGTTTGCGAGGAGAGCTGTACTTGCAAAGCATTATGGGACTTGCTGTCACAGCGGCCCGCTGTCGCCATAGGCTACCGCTACCCAAAAGCAGCTGACTTATAACAAAGATGGCGCAGGCAGCGTGTAATGGACCAACGGGAAAGTGATCATCTGTCGGTGAGTTAACTGAGTTTGCTAAAACGTCCACTATAAAGTCCTCACTCTATATAGTGATTGATTATTGAGTAAGCTTGTATGAATTATGAGAACAGCAACTTTTAAACAGAGCGTGCATGAGGGGAAATGGGTTTGTGCATGCTCTCGCATGCACAATTTTTTTTTAAGTGGAGAGGTCGGGTCTTTTAAAAAAATCGAGAAAATCCTCCACAATTCTTTAAAGAAAATTCCAGCACATGATTCAACATATAAAGCCATTAGCAGTTAAACAAGGGCACATTAAAACCCTGCATGTAATTTTCAGTAATTATTTATTATGAGTACATCTGGTCCCACTCTGACCTAGTGTGGGACCAGCATTATTTGAACACTGCAACATTTACTGTGCATAGCTGTAGCCGTTTATTTAGCCACAGGTCTTTTAGGTGTTGAAGTATTTGCAAGACTGGTGCATCATCTATCCTGTCATCAGTACTTGGCCAGATCAGCTTTACAGTCTGAAATTGTAAAGGGAAAAGAGTATTTGATTAAATCTTAAAACAGCTTGCCAATGCTGTAAGTGAGCCACTACTGGATCCCATTTACTAATTCATGAGCAGCTCATCCGGTTAACTGGAAGTGACAAAGGCAGAGAGAATGATCTCAATGTGAGAGTAACGCTCTATGAGCTTTTTCAGACTGCTTCCGTTGTCCATGACGTGTCTGGACATCTGTTTCATGATAAAAAGGTCCCAAATAGTTTTGTAAGGGTTCTTATCATAACAAACATTTCCCTGCTACTGTTCATTTGTAATGACACAGAAAGTACATTTTTTCCTACTTTCCCACTACCATGTAGTGACACTGAGTTTCCAGTTAAAGAGCTTATTTAAACACTTAATGGCAGCACTTCATTCCTTATGTTTTCTTATTTTCCTTATAGGGATAGATATTAAGAGCCGATTTTTAATGAAGAATATGCTTTAAGTGTAGGCCAGGTCAGTTTGAAAGCCAACTTTTTCTACTCAGTATGAAATTCAGTGTCTTGGAAAAGTGTTAATAATAATTTGTAAAATTAGTCAAGATGATAAAAAAGATCTTGCTTAATTGTTGCATTTTTATGATAAACCAACACAAAGATTTGATAAACTTAAAAAAAGAACAATAGACTGGACCTTTTTTTGTCATACTTAAAACCTCTTTTTCACAGTGGAAATGCTCACAGCTTTGAGATAGACTCAAATTATTTCTTTTTTTAAGTCATTCTGAGTAGATTAAAAGGGAAATATCCTTTATCATCTTATTTTTGCTGTGTTTTGTTTGATTTTGGACAAAGGGATGTTTAACAAGTCCTCTCTTAGTCTCATAAAACATAAAATTACATTAAAAGATAAATATAGACTATAGGAGTCAAAATACAACAGAATTTAACTACCTTATGGTCACTAGTGTACCAATTGATAATTTAAAAAGAAAGAGAAAAACTCTTTAATGAAGAATCAAAACCGAAAAAAGGCTCCCAAATGATTCTCTTCTTTGCCACTGCCAGTATACGAGCTACAGAAGACATTAGTAAAATGTCTAATAAGATTTTTGCAGCTGTTTTAAATATCCAGTTCACCTATAATGAACTACAAATGTAGAAAGTAGACATCTGATTTTGTTGAAAAAGCAAACTGAAGCAAACATTTAATGGGGTCTAGGTATTCAGCTATTTATTTTGTTATTTATCTTAATCAAACAGGCTTAAATTGTTAGACGAGGACATTTTGTAAAGAATTATACAAAGGAACACAAATTCCAGCTGTTTTTCAAAGTTGTCCTACTTAGCTAGCTATAGAGAAGGAGATATAAAAATAATGCAGGGACTTTATAGCACCTTTTATTGTTGTGGTATATATATTTAATTAGAATAATTCAATTCAGTTTATTTATATAGCGCCAATCCACAACACATTTCATCTCAAGGCACTTCGCAGTTCACCAGCTCATACAGTCAAATTGATTCAAAGTTTTCTATCCAAGGAAAACCAGTTGATTGCATCGACCCATTGACTTATTCCAACTGGAAACTGTAATGTAGAGCATCTAGATTTTATGATACGAAAAAGTAGGATATAATTATAAACTGGCGGAAAATTATTATAATTTAAAAAGATTTAAAAATTCAGTTGAATTTTACCTCAGTTATTAACTACCTTAAACTGAGGTATTAAAATAGATCCCAATCAAATCCAACCAATGCCCTGAGATGGCCTAGATGCAGTTTGATGGTGGGAGACGAAAGGACTTTATTTAAAAAAAAATTACCTAAAACTCTTAATCCATGACTGAAGCTGTTGTAATACATTTAAAAATGTTACATATTTTCAAATAAATTGAGTTCTGTGGATATAAATTAATCTTTTTTTACTTAAGGTATTTGCATACTTGTTCTAATTTTGATGAAAAACCCTCTTATCGCACCTGATTAGTGAACTCTTTTGGTTTGTTGAATCAAGTGTGTTTTATTATTTAGTTTGGATAAAAAAAGTGTAATATTCTTACCTCAAATGATCTTAAAACATGATTTTATTGAACAACAGCAACAGAAAAGAGAACTTTTAACTTAATACTCTGAGCTCTGTGAGTTAGGAAGATGGGCCGCCAACCAATGGCCAGAAGATGACTATCTAAGACACAGCCCTTCATCATTTGCATAATGAGGCAGAAATGCAGACAGAAGTGTAAAAACCACAGGCAGAAATAAATAGGGTCAAAAAATACAAAGGAAGAATAAAACAGACAAACATATTATCATATACACATAGATAAATAATAAAAAAAAAGTAAAAAATAAATAAAGTTGAAGATTAAAACGGACAATAAATAAAGCAATTATTACAAAGGCGAATCTAGGAGTTTCATACATTCATACCTCACTGTATAATTTAATTTCTCCCTGCATTCTTTTTTTATCGTAATTTTGGGGGCAATGAATTGTATGTTTATTTATTTTTGGAGCATTTATTTATTTCTGTATTTATTTTTAAATATGCCAGTTGGTCCTCCACAGTGCTGTACCATGCTTTTCCTCTAAGGGTCAGTATAGACGCGTGCAACGTAAATGTATAAGAAGCCGCTCAGTCGGTTTGCAAAAATAATCAGTCAGACAGTAGGCCAGATATGTTGATTGAAATACAACAAACACTTTACAGAATAAATATGATTGGGCTGGTTGTAAATTTTGTTAGGGTTGCGGCACATAACGAGATTAAGGGAAATAAAATGGCAGACGGGATGGCTAAGGAGAGTACAAATAAGGTAAGGATAGAAATTAATGTTAGTTTTAGTAAAACAGGAATAAAGGGTATAATTGAAAAAACAAAACAACAAAAAAACAAAAGAGGTAACAAAAGTTATGGGAAAAAGAAAAGAAAGGAAGGTGGTTCTATGAAATTCAAAAGAGAAATGGACAAATTAGTGGGGTTTTTTTGTTTTGTTTTTTTGTCATGCGTTCCACACTCCTTACCAGTTGGTGGCGGTAATGCTACCCTAACGGTTT